CCCTCGCGCGTCCAGCCTTCCCCGCGTCCCTCCTTCCCTGGCCGCTATGCAGCTTGTGCCCTGCGGCTGACTCCCGCGTGCCGCCTTCTGCCCCTGGATTTCCCTAGACAGGATGTGACCGGGTGCCTTTCCACTACTGCAGGAATTGGGGCCACAGCTAAGACCCAATTGGCACTTAGCCCTTGACACAAAATTAATCAGGACTCCCCTTAGTTTTCTGGGCGTCAGGGAAACGAAGAGTTTGTAAAGTTAGACCTGATACTTTACTCTTGTGTGCAGAATAATAAAAGATTATGGAGAAAATTGTGTCCACTAATGTCCCTCTAACCTTATGAGCCTAGAATTTGGAAGATCTTTTCGCTCGCGAGATCTCTGACCATAGATTGCTTAAAAAACTATTCCATAATAAATTCCTAAGTAGTAGAATGGGAGACCTTTCTAATAAACCGTGGAGGTCATTAAAAAATAAACTTAATTAGAAATCGTGAAGGACCATTTTGAAAAATGACACAGGGTAAGGAAAATAATATGGTTGTAATGAAGGATTTTTCTGTGGAAAGACTTCAGAAACTTAACAGAACGTACTACAGAAGAAGAGAGAATTTTATGCAAACAAGATTTTTAAGGTTTAAAGAACACAAAGGATCTGAGTGACAGTTTTCTCGATTCTCAAAGTCTGCAGATAGCTAGTATCATTTTAGATGTGTAGGAGAAAAGTTAATTCGTGCTTAGGGCACTTAATTCTCTGAGAACTCCTAAATATGAAAGGCTAGGACTTTGAAATCCTTAAAATCATTTAAAAGTGAAAATACAAATCTCCGCAATAAAAAAGAGAAACTATAAATTATTATTGTTCTATTGCTTCTGTTTTAAATTTAAAGTATCACTTTGCCCAGTGGAAAAAAATCAATAGTCATGACACAATAAAAATATATTTGATTGAAAATTACATTTAACTCTTACACATATTAACCCTTATGAGGCTAATAGACCAATCAAGGGATTAATCTAGTGCAACAAATAATTTAATTTGGTAGGACATTTATGATACCTAGTGAACTCATTTGAATAATTGACTACTTGTTCCATTATAACTCTTAAAAGCCCCAAACAAATCTTTCGAATAGCAACAGGAAAGAATCCTCGAGAAGATTGAGCTGTTCATTAATAAGAGCCCAACAACCATGTGTTTAATGTCTGTGGAAAAAAAAAAAGAAAAAGAAAAAGAAAATGCTGGATTGTTTCAAAGCTCGTACCTATTTCCTTTTCTTAAATCTATTAACCATAGTGTTGACCTTAGTATTATTTCTGGCCCTCTTCAGTAGAATGTGCTTGCCAAAGTCAAACTTCAGGAGGACTACATTCTGATGGGCACAAGTCTCCTTGGAGGATATGTTGTTTTATTGTAGGAATAGGCATTTTAGGGACTTCCCTTAGTGATGTAAATGTTCAATATTCAATTTAGATAACAATTAATTTCTGTTTCTTTGAGAGATATATTAAACATGGGAACTCATTCAACTTAACATCAAACACCCACTAAACGATCCAATTAAAAAATGAGCAGAAGACCTAAACAGACATTTCTCTAAATAGACATTTTGCCAGAGGACAATACAGATGGCCAACAGACATATAAAAAGATGCTCGACATCACTAATCATCAGGGAATGCATATTAATAACACAGTGACGTATCACCTCACACCATTCAGAATGGGTCACATCAATAAATCAACAAATAACAAATGCTGGTGAGGATGTGGGGAAAAGAAAGAACACTCGCACACTGTTGATGGAACTGTAGATTGTTGCGGCAACTGTGGAAAACAGTATGGAGCTTCCTCAAAAAATTAAGAATAGAGCTACAATACACCCAGCAATTCTACTTCTGAGTATTTACCTGAAGAAAATGAAAACACTAGTTTGGAAGGATATATGTGCCCTGTATTTATTGCAGCATTACTTACAGTAGCCAAGATATGGAAGAATCCTAGGTGTCCATTGATAGATTAGTGGATTAATGATATATATACACACACAATGGAATATTACTTGACAATAAAAAAGAATGAAATCTTGCCATTCTCAACAACACAGATGGAACTAGAGGGTATTATGCTAAATGAAATGAGTCAGAGAAAGACAAATACTGTATGGATTCACTTATATGTGGAATCTAAAAAACAAAACAAAACAAGTAAATCAACAAAACAAAATAGAAACAGACCCATAGATATAGAGAATAAGCTAATGGTTGCCAAAGGTGAGGGGGTGGAGGGATGGGGAAAATGTCAATGTTAAGGACTGAATTGTGTGCTCCCAAAATTCATATGTTGAAGCCTCAAGCTCCAATGTGACTATATTTGGAGATAAGGACTTGAAGGAGGTAAGTATGGTTGAATGAGGTTATAAGCATGGGACCCAATTTGGTAAGACTGGTGTCATTATAAAAAGAGAAAGAGACACCAGAGATGCACATGCATAGAGGGAAAGCCATGTGAGGACATAGGGAGAAGGTACAGTTTGTAAGTTGAGAAGAAAGGTTTTACTAGAAACCAACCCTACCTGGTACCTTGATCTTGGACTACCAGCCTCCAGAACTGTGAGAAAATCATATTCTGTTGTTTAAGCCACCCATGTGGTATTTTATCAAGGCAGTCTGAGCCAAGCAAGGAGATTTGACTCAATGTGATTGTATCAAATATTTAACATTTGAAAGATCCCTAAATGACAAACTTTGGCTTGTTATTTGTTGGTTTTTAAAATTTTGATACTTTTACTTGGCATAATGTTAATATCATGCTGTAAAATTTTAAGTTTTTTTTTTTAGTATTCGATGTACTGAGTTTTTTCTTATAACTGAGAAGTTACTAAGTAATTTAGAGATGTTCAGAAATAAGGTCATGATATTTATTGATGTTTTTCTAGAATTGAATTTTATTATTGTAACTAACCTGCATTTTAATAAATATAATACTACAATTTAGTAAGTTTAACCTTAGGTATACTTTTTACTTAATTTGTTATTTACCTAAAAAAATAACTTTGTGATCAGCTAGTTTAAGTTTTAGACTCTAAAATAACTCATGAAATGATCTTATGTGGATTGTAAATGTTATTTATCAAACTATTATTTTGGGGGAAGTGGAGAATATCCTGTTTGTTTATTTTTCAGTAGTTTAAAATGTGCTTTTCTAAATACCCCAAAGTAAACATTGTAATGTTCAGTCTATAGCCATGCTACCCTGAACAAACCCGATCCCATCTGATCTCGGAAGCTAAGCTTGGATGGGAGACTACCTAGAAAGACCAGGTGCTGTAGACGTAAAAAATTAAAAAAATAAGGGATTGTAAGCTGACAAGGTTTTTGCAATCTGTGAGGTCAACCAAGGATTGCCTTGCCTAAAAAATTAAAAAAATAATAAAATTAAAAAAAAATCTAGAACTAACATTGTAATGTTCAACCTTTTATGTAATCTAAGCCAATCTACACATTTTCTCTGGATCATATAATTTGCTTAAGGGAGAAAAATAAAGTTTATTTAATAATTTTTAAAAAAGATGAAATATACAAATGCCTAAAAATTAATCTCTACAGCATTTAAATATTAGCCATTTAACTAAATAGAACCTAAAGCTGATTTGTGTAATACTGGGCCGTGGCCTTAAGATGGCAGTAGTTCTGCATTAGGAATATTTTTTTCATTTGCTTTCTTCAGTAATCTTAAAATCCTTAAATTTCTAAATAGAAAAATACACCATTTTCCTCTTTCCATTTCTGCTGTTGCCACAAGAAGAGAAGCCCACTTAGGAATTTTACTGTGTTTTTTGGGGAGTGTGTTTATTTATTTTTGATGATGTGATGGGACAGCCTTTCGGTAGGAAACTTCTTATTAAGGTTGTGCCTGAATAAAGAACCAAGTGTTTAAAATATGCAATGAGTTCCTCTTGGAGAGAGAGCTAATGTATGAAATGGCAGAATTGTAATTTAAAAAGGTCTCAACTGATGTTTTAATGGATTGAAATTTAACTAAGGCAAATGTTAAATTTGGGGATTAGGTTCAAACAATTAACTTTAACAGTATATGATGGGGAACCTTAATTTAACATTTGTTAAATTGGAAATAAAATGTGGGTAAACTCAAAGTAAACTCAGTTAGTTCCAGTTTAAACTCACGGTCTGTCTGATAGTCACTTCATCATACTTCCCTTTGCTTTGGCTGTCCTTCTGGGAATATGGGAATTCTAAATTGCAGAAGAATTACCATGTTGTCAAAGGGTCTGGGGAGAGACTTTGGGTCCTTGGTTGATGGCGTCCATACAACTGTTTTCCTCAGCTAGGCCAACCCTGTCAACCTTGGTTGCTTCTGGCCACCCCAGCAACAGTGTTAGCAACCATCCCTGCTGCATAAACTCCAAGATATCTCCAGTTTCAATGTCATCAGAAAAATCTTTAGTTTTGACCCAAACCTTGAGACCATTTCAGGTTTGCCATTCCACA